CCCCAAAACCCCAAAACCCCAAAACCCCAAAACCCCTTCTATGGCTTCATATTGAATAATTATTCAATTTGGAATAACCTTGTTCAGAAAAGTTCCTAAACCTAACTAGAATAGATCATTTGAATAACTTAGCAAGCCAGGAGGAAAACTCAAGCTGGTTGAGGATAAGAAGAGCTAAATTTGGGAATTAGTTATCAAAATATATCTTTTAACTGTCTCTTGAACTGAGTTCCTTAATAAGTCTTCTTTCGCCTACATCACCTGTAGCATTTGTTTCTAGTTTTTCCTTTAGGTTAGCTAATATCTCATTTGTTCTATAAATTAACCATCATCTGATTACCTATGATTAGTTAGGGTTGCTTCTTTGTTAAGATCAATGGAACGTAAGAGCTCTACTTCATTTTTCTGTTCCTCTGGAACTCCTTTTTCAATGAAATCGAGCTTCTTCTCAATCTCGAAAATGTCCTTTTGTGCTGAGATTCTCATTTTATTTAATTACAGATGTTCTAAAGTCAATATCCTCAATCTGCTTCTTGATAATGTCATTATCATTAGAAATTTTACAGTCAAGCACATCCTGCTTGGCCAATTTTGACTCACTTTTGTTGAGAGTACTTGTGTTCTGTGATAGAGCACTTGTGTCTCCCTTGTAGTCACTCACTTTGGAGGCTGAGTCTAGATTTTCCATTAAGTTCATCATATTCATGAACAAGCTTTTCACAATAGCGGATCTGTGTTCCTCAGGATATTTTTCAACTTGTTCAATATCTTGATTTAGCTGCTGAGCTTCTCCCAAAATGCTCGATGATTTGTACTCAAGCTCATTGGTGATGTCAACGAGTTCCTTTGTTCTCTTCACACTCTCCTTCTTATTCTTAAGTCGTTCTTTATGAGTATCTAAAATATTATTTAAACCTCAGGAGCGCATACCTGTAGTCTTAGTGTTTGGTTTGCCAGTTTCTTCATTACTAGCATCAATTTTCTTTGCCATGAGAACTTTAGTCAAAAACTCATTCTGCTTCAACAAATACTGGGTATCTGTAGTCTTCTGCTTCTCCAACTGATCAATATTTTTCTTAAGCTTTTCGATTTTCTCCTCCATTTTACTGTTACCTTTCTCTAATTTCCTTATATCTTGTCTATGGATAGCGTCCTGCAGCTTCATGTCATGCAAGGTTTGCTTCATATAAGTAACGGCTTCGTCAATCCCTTCGGATTGTATCTGGATCTCTGATTCTCCTTCGAGGTACATCTCCTCCATTTCTAAACGGTCTGTTATCAATAAATTATTGAATAGTAGGGGTTTTGGGGTTTTGGGGTTTTGGGGTTTTGGGG